TCTGGGGGCTGCTGGGTGTTCCTGGTTTGAAGGCCGTGGCGGTGCGCCGGGGAGGTGGCGCGGCGGTCTAAACGCCTGCCTGCAAAGGACCCGAGCTCGATCCCCGGCACCGCCTGCCGTGCGGGTCCCCAAACCCGGCATGGTGGCTCACGCGTGTAATCCCTGCGCTGGGGAGGCTGAGACAGGAGGATCGCTACGAGGCCTACCTGCGTCGCGAGACCCTGCACCAAATGAGTAAGAGGTTTTTTTAATGATGGAGGAAAGAGGGCAGAGGAATGCCGTAGAAAGGCCAACATTCGCATTTAGGTCTTTGCCATTGAGTCCAGGCTGCTCTTATTTTTCCGTGTAACTAGTTGTGTAGCACTATTTTTGTGTCCCGTACAGTCTCGTTTACTTATCGAGCTGCCCTGACGTCTGTGAAAAAAATCGAGTCTCAAAGCGTTAGACCCTCACAATGAGATCCCTCCTAATCTGACCAGAAAGGATCTTGGACAGACTGGTCTGTTCAAACAGGAAAGCCCACTCAGAAATATATATTATAGTTTCTCTCTCTCTCTCTCTCTCTCTCTCTCTCTCTCTCTCTCTCTCTCTCTCTCTCTCTCTCTCTCTCTCTCTCTCTCTCTCTCTCTGTTTTTGGCTTTCCTGGGAACTGAACTCAGGACATTGCAGTTGGCAAGCAAGTGCTTATTCTACTGAACTGTCTCCTCAGCCCAGGAAAGCCCACTCAGGCCGAGGCTAAAATCATCAGGATGGCTCCCAGGCCTGGTTCTCAGGCTTGCAGGAAATCCCGTGTAAGTCTATAGAACGCCCCTTTTTAAGTTAGCAAAATTCTGCGGTCACCCTGCACGTCCCCCAGGTGCTTTCCACTGTAGAATGGCACTCTGTAAGTCCGCAAACCCTCCTCTGATGCTGTACTTCCCTCCGCGCTAAGAGGCACCACCCACGCGGGGCCCCTGAGAATCAGTTTTCAGCTCCCTCAATGAAAGGCCCCCTCGCATTCCTAAACCGATATGTAAAGCTGGCTGTCTTTTGTTCATGCCGAATGGCCTTCTCAGCCTTGACCAGGCTGCACCCAGCCTGAGATAGATACCACTCTTGGCCTCAATCCTGCTTGTCTATAGTGTTCTCAGTCAGGATTTAACAGATGAACAAGAATCTTTTCTGGTCTTGGTTTTCTGTTCTTTGGCTCCATTCTCCGTAAGACCAAAGCCACATCTAGTAAGCTTATAGTAAGTTTTTAATCTATATACCAAATCCCCCTGACCTTGACTTCAAAAAGTATTTTTTTAATCCTGGCCATTTGTTAGGTTACATATTTCTGGAATTATCTGGTAAGATTTATGAAAAATCCTACTGGGATTAAACTGCACTGAATTATACACTTGAAAAAGGTTGATACTTCTATGGGAGTATTATCATAAATATGAGCCTAGTTATAACACTTAGCGTTCTTTTAAGATCTTACTCTTTTTCCAGAAAGGTTATATGTAAATGTATAGAAAGCATTTTTTTTTTTTTTTTTTGCATGTACTAGAATGTTAACTCCATAGTCAGGTGATCCTATTTTGCTTCTTTGCAATTTGTTGAACATACCAAATCCTCTCTTGCGACTGGGCTTTGGGGGGGGGTGTTTGTAACATAACTTCCTGATTTCATCTCTTTCAGGTCTTTGTGTAGATGTCAAGTTTTCTCTGATCTCCCTACATAAAATGTTTAAGGAAGGAGTCAGTCCATTTTTTTCCTGCCATACTCAGGATTGAACTCTACCACTGAGGTATAGCCTCAGCCTGTTTATTTTGAGCTAAGTCTAGGTTTCCCAAACTGGTTTCAAACTCCTGGGTTCAAGTGATCTGCCTGCTTCAGCCTCTCAAGTAACTGGAATTATTCCAGGTGTATTCCACAAATGCAACTCATTGTTGTAATTTGATGCTTTTTATTTTTGCAAATAATCAACAAGGTACAAACTGCTTCCAGGTGGCAATCAAAACAAGGGACGACTGTGGCTAACCCATTTGTTGCTAATGTTTGTGAAAGGCAAATTACAAACTTTGAACAATTTACTTGGAGCCAGCGAGATAGCTCAGCAGCAAAAGTGCCTGCCTGGCAAGCAGAAGGTCCCGAGTTCGATCACCCGTACCAAAAAGAAAAAAGTTTACTTCACCAAAGGGTTGTTGCTTTGTGAAGTACAGTGGTCCCTCACTTATCGCAGAGGTTACTGTCCAGACCCCCCCCCCACAGTAAGTGAAAATCAGCCAAGTAGCAACGTTTAGTATTTATATATATTTTAAGGCTTTATAAACCCTTCCCACACTTACAAACCTTTCCCACACATTTAAAAACATTTTTGTTAACCATTTTCTATATTCATAAACCTACATAATTTTAACATGTATACTGTAAGGTGCTGCAAAATCTCGCGTGATAGCGAGAAAAATCCATAATATAGATGAGTATTTTTTGAAAACCTGCGAAACAGTTGTCTGTAAAACTTGAACCATGAAGTAGCAAGGGACTATTTACTGTTTTAGAGTGGATTTTTAAAAAGTCAGTATGAAGACTGAACAAGGGTCAACTTTCTTAACATCAACTTTTGTACTTCTTTTGAGACATCTCCCTGTGGTGCTCAGGCTGATTTTGAACTCCTAGACACTAGAGAGCCTCCCATCTATAGAGAAACACAACGTGCAGGATGGAAGTACTGTGGTTCAGGCCGTGAAGGACCCTGGGAGACAGGAGGTTTGTAGTTCCAGCACCGGCACATCTCCCCCACCCCGAGGTCAGTAACTTCTGTGGCCTCAGTCTCACGCTGGCTGGCGTTGATAACTTACACAGCCTGAAGCTGTTGTTGGCACATGGTCATCTTTGTGTATCTTGGACTGAATGCAGACCAAGCAGCTGGGAGAAGGGGAGCTAAGAGGCCCAGGGCTGCTGAGGATAGGCTGGCCAGGGGCCTGAGGGCTGCTGAGGATAGGCTGGCCAGGGGCCTGAGGGCTGCTGCAAACGTGCAGTGGCCAGGGGCCACAAGCATAGCTAAGCAATGGACCGGGACTAAGGAATCATGTAAGGGCTGTTTACCAGCTCACGGCGCTGCGACCCTTCTTCGGGCTGCGCAAATCTCAAGTGGGCCTCTGCGGTCTTATCCGGTGACAGACCACCTCAGACTCTGAAGGGCTGGGCCCACACACTCCTGTCACCAAGCCTGGCTTTAAACATTGATTTTTTTCATATACCAGAAGTAATTCACTTGGCAATTGTGAGACTAACTTGAAGAATTTAAAATGTTATATATAAAAAAAAGTTATATGAATGTAAGTTATTACCAGGTAGTAGAAATAATTCGGTGTTTCCTGATCATATTGGCATTTGAGGTAAAAACATACACTAGACTTTGCTGATACTATGTAATTTTTAAAAAAATTAAGTTGGCTCAATAAAGCTATGTTATATAAAAAAAAAGGAAATAAACATATCATTTATGTATCTGTTCTCAGTAATTTCTTTTGGAAAGATCTGTAAAATATCTGAAAAGCTAAAAAAAAAAAATTATAAGTAGTGATTTTTGTTAGCTTTTTTGTTTGAGACGGGCTTGTTGTTTAGCCTCCCAGGCTGGCCTCAAATCCACAGCGATTCTTCTGCCCTAGCCTCCTGAGTGTACAGCACCACATCCAGTTAAGATTTTATGTTAGTATCAATTAATGAGTTAGTTATTTAACCTAAATCTTTTTTTTTAATTGGTAGCCAGCTCAGCCCGCCCTGGGGGCAGGGCTGGCGCAGCATATGGTGCTGGGGATCAAACCGAAATCCCTGTGCCTGCTTAAGCTTGCCTAAGCAGGTGCTTCAGACCACTGCGCTATCTCACCAGCCCCTCTAAACCATATTTTTTTTCTAAGGAAGCATCTGCTGATTTAATCTCTCCCAAAGCCATGGGTCTCTTTTGGTTGGTCAATGCGATAGAGAAACTCTGCAGGTGAAAAGTATCCAAGATACTCCACCATATCTGGAGTAGTGTCGTAATGGTAGTGTCCACCTTCTCCATGATGACTAAAAAAGTGAGTGTGCTCCAGTCGCAAATCGAAGCCCTGAGACAAAAGACAAGTACCGTTAGTACACACTGAAAGTATTTTGATTAGAATTCCTTTAAGAGGGAAGAAGGAATTTGTTAAAATACACATATACACACATATATATATATGTGTGTGTGTGTGTGTGTGTGTATTTTAACAAGGGAACCAGTTAATATTCTAAAAGTCAAAGCATATAAAAGGATAGACTCAGTAACATGTATCTTCTCAGTGGCCTTCCTCACTCATTTCCTTTTATAGACAATCTAAGCAGCTTTTTATATATCCTTCCAGAAATACTTAATTTTACCTCAAATTTGAATTGTAGCACTCTGCACACTGTTCTACATACTGCTTTTTTCACTTAATAATCCTTTGACATCTTTGTCTATTAGAGCATAAAACAGCTTTTGCATTCTTTTATACCTGCGTAGTATCCCCTTGTATGTATGTAACTTCTTAATGGACACTTATACTATTTCCAATTCTGCTATTACATTGTTGTCATTCATAATCTTTTAACTTATTTTACAAGATTATGCATATATTTAAATATAAAATCCTACATATGTGATCACTGGATCAAAAGATAAAACCAGTCCACACTGTGGTGGATACTTGCTTTGAATTCATGTATATGAATTTTCCAGTGTACAGGACTACATGATGAACCCCAGATAGAAGGACACAGGAGATCTGAATCCGAGTGGTGATTCTACCTTAATGGTGTTCCTTTGGGTGTTATTTCCAATGCCTGTGCCTTCCTATCCTAAAAGGTAAAGTCTGCTCTGCCTAGCTAGCTCCTAGGGCGTAAGTCACCTGGTCCTTATCTTTCAATTCTATACTCTATCCTAATGCTTAAATAAGACCACCACAAAAAATACCTAGCTCTAAAGGATGTCCTTAAAAAAAAAAAAAAAAAAAAAAAAGCATCACAGTAAAATAATATAATAAAGTAAGACTTACTGGGTCTCTGGAGACAAAAACTGGTAGGCAAACCAAAGGAGCCTTCATCTCGTAAAAATGCAGCCATTTATTTACCTCTTCATCGGAGTTCAATGGACAAGAAGAAAATTCTTTGGGCTACAACGAAAGTTAATTAGACAGGTAAACATGGAATATTACTGGGAACTGAAAGTATGTTTAAGTTAAAAATTTGAAACTTTCTTACACATTCTACTGATTATTTTTGGCATAGTTTAAATAATATAACCTAGTTTTCAAAAAGATAAGCAATCTGTGTATAAATTAAGGCTTAGGAATGAATAAATGAAGGAATGAGCCAATTATTATGTTAATCTTTTTTTGTTCTTTTTGCTGTGTTGAGGGATTGGACCTAAGGCCTTGTATATGGTAGGCGGATACTCTCCTACTGAACTATGTCCCCAGCTCATTATTTTTCACAGACTCAGTTTTTATATGTTCACATTCTAACCTTTGAATTTTTAAAAAATCTATTAATTTATTGGGTACAGGGTCTCACTATGTAGTTCAGACTCCTAGTGATCCTCCTGTCTCAGCCTCCCAGCACTGGGATTATAAGCGTGCATGTTGCCACACCAAGTTCCAGGGCTGGCACTGAGCGTCCAGGGTTCTGGGCGGGCAGAACGTGCAGTACTGGGTCCTTGTGCTTGCCAGACAGGTGCTTAGACTGCTGGGCGATCTCCCCAGGCCCACATTCTAACCTTTAAAAATACCTATTGTTTTGTGGTACATGGGATTAAGCCCCGAACCTCATGCATGCAAGGCAAACAGGCAGTGTGCCACTTAGCTCTACCTCCTCCCTTTGTTTCCATCTAAACCCTCTACTGCTACCAGCAATGAGGGTGATGCGGGGACAGTAAGGCCCTATAATTGAGTACAAGCTTGAAACAGAGAACAAAACACTTAAGAATTAAACCTAACCAGGCAAGTAAAAGACATACTGAAATTTATAAAACAGTGCTAAAAGAAAAATGAAAGAGTCCAGTAAGTGCAAAGACCTCACCTTTAGGGACTGGATGACTCAATATTAAGGTACCAACATTACCCAGAACACTCTACGGATTCACTGTGGGCCTGGGTGCAGCTCAGTGTCACCGCACCTGCTAGCTGCCTACTGTGTGCAGGGCTCTGGGCTCAATCCCAAGCACTGAAGCAAAAAGCAAAAACAACTTCAGTTCAATCCCTGTGAACATTTTTTTGGGGCACAGGGTCTCACTATGTAGTGCAGGCTGGCCTTGAACTTTATTATGTAGCCCCAGATGGCCTCCAAGT